TCGGCACGCAAGGTAAAAAGTCTGGTGCTACGCCACATTGCGCTGAAATCAAATTCTAAAGTTTGCCATCCGTCTAGAAACAAACCTGGTACTATGCAAGCACGAAGATAATCCACTGATTTTTCGGTTCTTTGAACATGAGTACTCTTGAGTTCTACAGGCGAGGTGAGTCTCGATTTCTTCTATGCAAGGCGGCGCATCTTTCAATTTCTATGCCCGAGATTACGGTATTTCTAACATTTTTAGCGCATTCTTATCCCACAATTGTGCATTTTTCAAATTATATTTATTCGATAAACTTTACATCCTCTGGCTTAGATTTTCTCCCATACAGAGAATGTGGTCAAATAAAGGACGACTGTCTTCTTTCGTCCCTTTCCGAGAAGGGGGCTTCTCGGCTGAACAACCATTAAGTCAATGTGAGACGATAAAGTAATCATCTATAAGCAGAGAAAGTTTCAGATGAAAGAAGATGATTAGTAGTAAAATCCCCACGAACGATTAACAACCGGTTAGTAGTTTTACCGTTGGTATCTTCGCTACCCGGAGCAACCGGTTTCTGATGATTCTCTTGCACTGCAGCATCACAGCTTATCTTCTTAGACAGTGGGACGCTCTGTGATGAAATAATCATCTGTTTTAATCTCTGTTTCATTTGACAAGTTGAGATGTCTTTTACACAACAAATTCAAGCTGTACGAATGTCACATAATCAAGGCAGTGCCAAGGATTTCGGGCATCGGGTCACTATGTTTCACATTGCAGCAGTACTTAGACGGTCAATTTGCTTTTGCGGCACTGCTAGCAAGAAGTTCCCAAACCAGCGTTAGAAATCCATCGTTCATTTTTAACTCAAAAAGAGGCGCTAACCGTGTGGTGTTGGAATAGTCACTGCGACCGACTGTCCATGTTTGCTCAGAAAACTGGGATGCGAACTCGTATAGGCCATATGTGCTTGTCCAGCTAAAGTGATTTTTCTGTTTGCAATAAGTGATTATATTTCAAAGAACTTTTGTAAGCTAAAAACTAAGAATTAAATGGCTGAGCTGCATGACAAGTTTTTTTCGTCAAGAGAAAGATGAAAGGAAACAGGAGAACGAACGCTAGTTTGCGTAGTAGGCTAATTCATGTGATGTAATTCGGTAGCAGCAGCAGCCATGCAACGACCGCTGCGCCAAAATGAAATACAAGCTAATCAGAGCATCAACTTGGAACGCTGAACGGCTTACCCGAAACTTTTGTCCATCGTGGAGAAACTGGCTTTCTTGTTGCGAAATAAGCACCAAGGAAACTATTTATACCTGAAATGTATAATACGATTCGCCTTTTCAGTTCTCAAGTTTTATTTTAACCCTCTCAAATGAGCTGAGTTATCATTCTAGTCTCGACAAACTTTCAGACTGCTGCGACAGTGGTCTGAAAGCTCTCAATTGTTGATCCAGAGGTCTCAAAAATAAATACTAAGAATACTAAAACTAGCATTCTTGATATGTATTTTTTCGAAAAATATCTATTTTTCTCAAGAAATGAAAAACAAATATTTTTTCAAGAAAACTGCTCGTTTTAAATTTGGAAATTTGAATAAGGACTCTTTGAAATTACTGTTTTAAAATATATCTCTGTGTGGTATTTACAATTTTCGCTCATCCTCATATCATCGTCACTAGGGTTGAAGCCAACTGCGCCGCTCTTCGAGGAATTTATGATCATCTTAAAATATAGTACACTTGTTTATTACAGTTTGCAATATCAACAGCGACAAAACTGCCCGGGCTATTAATGTGAGAATTTCATGCTAGTGATGTTACAGAGGTGCGTCCACACGTCGCACACACCTATGCCCAGACACTTGACAGACGAACCCTACTGCAATAATAATTGAAGTTTTATTTGTCCAGTACAGGGATATTTTACGAGGCTTAAAAAAGCTTTCTAAATGTCTTAAACCCTCTTTTCCTGCTTCACTCTTTCCTTCCTCCGCTTACCAAAGTTTCAAAAATTATTCAGTTCAGAAAAATTTCTGTTGCGCAATAATTCTTTAGCTTTTTTAGGTTCAATATATCGTCGACGTAATTAGCTCCAAAGTGCCCTTCCCCTTGTCTCCCATTCTACTCTTGTCCTTTTTTAATGTGACAATTCTGCTTTTGAAATCAAGATTTATTTTAAAATAAAGGCGAGAATTTTAAGCACGAGTACGAGCACGTGCGAAAAGAAACAAGCAGAATTTCAAAATTAAGAAATAATTGGCCAGTGCATCGACTGCTAGTGAGAAGGTGCGTTTTTAACATAGTTCCCTGCAGGTTTTTATCGCTAGTGGCATTGTTTTTTCCGACAAATGCTTCCAGTTAAAAGAACTGAGATTGGCCACCAGGACTGTCAGAAGACATCCCATTAAAGTTTCTGCTTTCTAACTTCTCTGGTTCCCAGTTAGCAACTTACCTGCTAAAAACTTTCTCAGGCCCGTAAGTAAGAAACAAGCATATCTAGAGGCCGAATTCATTCGATCATACGCGGGAAGGCTGGAATTTTAAGGGAATGTTAAAAAGAACTTCAATGGGTTTGATCAGAATTTACCTCTTTCCAAGTCCACATTCCACACTGGTGATACGTACGGATTCTGCGGCTGGTTCGGTTGTGCAGTGATATGACGGACTATTTTCAGTGATCGCAACTCCCATCGACTTTCAGCCTTACCAGTTTCTTCTGCGGCTCCGAAAGAACAGATTCATAGACACAGTAGTTAAAAACAATCAGGATTATTAAAGTAAGAGCTGTGGAGACACGTGCACCCCAAAATCAAAGGAACAGACAGAGTTGCACGTTGCGCATGAATGCATTTCAGCAACACCAGCAACTCGAATCTCCACATCAGTTGGCCAGCTTGAATGCCTTGTTAACGGAGTTTTACGTCATAACAATTTTAACCCAAGCTTTAATGTGCCGGGCTTGCCGATGCGATCATGCGTTTTTGCATCAAGCTTGAAGTAATCAGGTCACTAACTGCATGAATGGTTATTGCTTTACACCTACATTTTGCGCTCCCGAGCGTAAATCACCATAAATTTTGCATAAAGTAAATGAACAATTTCCATTTTAACGCTCGTTCTTTAAAAGCCGTCTAGTTGTTCAGTAGGCAATTTTTCTCCCAAAACTTTTAAGTGCTCATACGTGAGAACCATGCACACCTGAAGACCGAATTTGAAATATGTAAGTTTTATTTGGACAGGAAACATTCTA